TATTTTGTTTTTTGGTGTAACTCTAAAACAAATTACCGTAGATACATGAAATTTTTACTGACTGTTTATATTAGCATTTTTTATACAGAATGCCTTTTTTAAAATATTTTAGCTGTTTTGGGACATTTTCAGTTTCCAATTTTTTTAATTTTTTATTCTATAAATATGAATAAAATTGTATTGGTTTTTTAAAAAAGCTTGAAAATTTAATAGAGGGTTACTAATATATTGTTTCAAAGGCAGATGAAAAATATTAAAAATCCTTAGTCATAGTTTTTTTTTATTAGCATTTAAAGTCCAAAAATTGCAGAAAAAATATGGAAATATCACGAAAATTGGCAAATTATTTTGCGTTAAGAATTCGTAAAAATTTTTCTTTTTAAATCTAAGATTTTAAAATGTAAAACAAGATTCCATATAAGATTATCTACATTTATCAAAAAAATAATATCTATAAGAAAGTTAAATTAAATTTTTATGAGCGTTTGAAATTCAAATTTTACATTATAATACATTTTGTGATGTTAGTTTTAATATCAGATTGAATTGACCTAGTTATTAATTTAAAAATAACACTGTTATCCAGGGAAACTTATACGCGTTTATTGATATTCAGATATTCAAATTTCCAATATTGAAGCTAGTTATGACTTATGAGCATTTTGTTATTGTAATTTTTTGCATGATTAAAACTAAATAAAAAATTAAATTTGTAATGAATGAGATGCCTATAAAATGAGATGCCAATAAAATAATTTTATTTTTCAAAAATGATGAGGTAGCATAATATTTTTCTTTATCAAAAACATAAAACTCTTAAAAACTTAACAGTAACCCTATAATCTTAATTTGAGTACTCGTATTATATTATATTTCTTTTTTGCTATGTACAAAACTTAATTAGGAAAATTAAGTAGAACATAATAATATACTTCTTTTCTATATGAATTGTTGTGACAATTATGTATTTTCTTCCTATAATTCTCCATAAATATTAATCTGTGATCTATCATGTAAAAAAAAATATAAATATAAGTACTCACCAGTAAAAGCACATGTTAAATAACTAATAAAACTAAGTATAAAAATAATAGTTAGCATATTAATATTCCTGACCATATTTGTAACAACAATAATAAAAACTTTGAATACAATTGAAAGAATAATATAAAATGCTGTCTAGCCCTTTCAGCCTAACACATTGATCGGATATCGATATCGAATTTTAGTAAAAAACTTTTGTCCTTAGAATTATATCAAGATACATTTTATGCCATAATAATAGTTTTTGATTTTTAATTTATATCGGAAAAAATATTGTTGGTAACAAATATTTTTTTCTCGATATATACGTAGTGTGTTTGAAGGTGAACTATGCAAAAAAATGGATGGTAAAAAATCAAAGAAGCAAAAACTAAAGTTGACATTAATTAAGTATAAATCACACATTACACGGTTACAATAAATAGGAATAATAAAAGTTATTGGCCGATGACTTCACTACGTATTTCTCGCATTGTGCTGAAATAGTTTGTTTTTTTATGCAAAGTATCGTATTTATATTTATAAGAATATTAATATTATAACACCATTAGCCATTAGGTATAAACAGTGAATGACATTCTATCAAAAATTGTTTTGATATCCAAAGAACTAAATGAAATACTTGCTATTTATTAATTTCTTCATTAAACGATTTCTAATCATTTGGTCTGTAATGATATTTTAAATAAAAACGAACATTAATTGTATATCACTAAATACATCAAGGCAGTGGGGAAATCAAAAAACAATCGAATGGTGATAATCCTACAGCGAGAAAAAAAATTTTCACCGGCCGGTGTAAATAGATTGTTCATGAAGTAGAAAATTTGGAGATGATTGCAATCATGGTATCACCGTGTACGCATAGTATGTCATCTCAGCGTGCGAGAAGCTTACTTAACTGTAACTATAATATACGATATACCGCCGCATTTAGATCACTTTATCGATGTACAAACATCATAAAAATATTTTTTTATTTCATTTTTCCATACCCCTTTTGATAAGCAATAAAATATTAAAATATTTATTTGATTTCAGTTCCATATGTTCTTCAAACCGCAATGGTTATATCTAAGCGTACCTACACATCGTGTAAAAATTCAAACGAAGCAGTCTGCGCTTTCAATCTTTAAAAAAAAAAAAGTTCTCCGGAACTCAATTTATAGCCCTGAGATATTTTCAATTTTTAATAATAATGTTATTTCATTGTTTATAAAAATATGCTAAGAATAACACAAAACTTCAATTAGAAACGTTATTCATACCTACTAATGTAAATGTTTTCCCATAGAACACAAATTTAACACATCCATTACTCATTAGAATGACAAATATAATGTACATCAGAGCACGCAATTTATTTAAACAAACTATAGGTAATTCCTATAATCTTGAATGTATTTTTAGTTATATTACATAGTTCTTTTTAAACAAAATTAATTTATATAAAATGTAGTTTTATTAATCGACCAATATTGTGTTATTCAATATACTACAAAAATGTTAATGACATTTCCATACGTATTAATAATAAAAAACAGTGTGTACCTACTATGATGACGAAGATTTATTGATACATAATTATATAAAATAGAACAATTATGTTTTCTTTCAAATATAACTATGTTTTTAGTATAATATCCAACGAGGATTATTATTATAGATATATATATATTTATAATATAAACCATATCGGTGTGATAGACAAATAGACAAAGGTTAGGTTAGGCTAGGTAATATTCCTGTTTATTTATGTTCGGCGCCTGTTGCATTCCCTCACTCGGTCCCGTATTAAAATAACCATTCGCTTTTCCGATATTTAAACAATGTTGAGCTGGGGAGAGTGAAGCTAAAAAATAAAAACAGTTTGACTTAAATCAGTTTTTTTATATTGAATAAAACAATAGAACTAATATTATTAATACTTTATGAATATATTAATAAAATAAAAAATATTATATTATGTGTCAGATTTATGTATTGTAACCTGCACTCTAATAATTATTACCATCCTTCGAATTTAAAGCCATAAATGTAGCCACATGACCTGAAATAATATGCATAAGCTTTGCTCAGGTTATTATTGTTACTCTATTAAGCGAAACTTTGTTTTATAATCAGTGTTGAGAATTATGTAGATAAAATAATTTCTTTAATTATCTTATGTAGATAAAAATAATTAAAACATCTAATTATCTCATCTAGATAAATGTAATGGTTATCCCTGGTTATTTATCTAGATAAATAATATAAAAATAAGAATGTTTTTAAATACTGAAATATTCAATAATTTACGAGAACCTAGTAGTAAATCCAAATTCCAATATTATTATAGTTAAAAAAAAAAATGCCTACTGAAATATAGTCAGTTTTATTTTGTAATTTTGTTTTTATTCAAGTTGTATTAAAAATTAAAATTGTATATTATTTTAGTTGAGAAATGACATTAAAGATTTATTAATTAATAAATATTACCTAATTAGTAATAAATAGTAAATTACATTATTTATAAAATTATTTAATAACAAATTATCTATTTTTTATGTAGATAAATTTATGTGTATTTTTATCTTTATCTAGATAAAAAAAAATTATATTACATTTTATCTTGTCTATATAAATTTTGAATGAATTATCTGTTAACATATCCAGATAATTTTTTGGTTATCTTTTCCCAACACTAATTTTATTTAGATAAATATATTAGTAAATATTATGTATGAATTAGGTATAAACGTTTTTAAATCTAAACATTAATTTTATGGAAAAACAATATTTTCAATCATCATAGAACATTGAAAACAACTAGGTACTTACCTTTGGTCTTAACTTTATTAGCCCCTGAACAATAATAAACAATTTATAAATCATGAATACAATATTTTATAATATAATATTTTAAGGTGTATCTATTATTTTCCTTGAAAAATTACGTATTTAAAATAGTTATTTGATGTCGATTAACATTTAGCACTGATGCAGAAAATCTAGATGTAGCTATATTGTCATATAACGATACATTTTTAATGATTTTATAATTGTGTATTTGAATAACCTATGATTATTTTATTTGCGCAGTGTTCATTCTTGTATATTTAAATAAAATACTATAAATAAAAAAT